CGGCTTCGGCTGATAACACTTACCTCAACCTTGATTATTCCGGACATCACAAACACCTTATCCAATAATTGTTTATAAACAAACTGAAATTGTGGTAACATCTACATTATCACTAGCCTCTTGGCTAGTAAGTTGAAAAGTTAGTTTTGAGCCCTTATACTGCTAACCATTTGCCCATTGGCTCAGACTTTGATGGTAAAATGTGCTATCAACAAAATGGTAGACAGAAGTGAGCAATCTTCAAGCAACAATATTATTTGCAGTACTTCTCAGCCAAGTCTTTACGTGAAACAAATTTGTGGCTTAGAGCAGCATACAGATTTTGATATGTTGCATCAGGTCCATCCCTATGTTTCCACTCCTTCAGCATCTGATATGCTTTCTGAGAAAGAAACCTTTTATCCAAGTCAATCTCCTGAAGCTTTTCATCTGAGAAATTCAATCTACGTCCTAGTTGTTCCCATTTTATGCCAATACTTTGGCCCAAATCCTCCAGCTCCTCGTCTGTTGGTACACCTTGTTTGACTGCAAAGGCAAATTTAGAGTCATTGGTATATAATTAACTAATGAAAAGCAAATAACCACCAATTGTTAGAAGTGGATTCAAAGCTCTGCAAAGGATATAAATCTCAGAAACATCTGTTTAAAAATAGTAGTGCAGCTAGCAAGGGACCAATCCTTTTGGATATCACCTGGCTAACTAACAAATACATTTTACATGCAGGAGCAAAACATTTACTTAAGTGGGACAATTTTAAGCTAACACAGTATTTGGTTCAATTCATTTCTTCACAGCAGTGTTTTTCTGCTAACTGTCTCAGATCAGCACCCACCAATGCCTGATACAGCTTCTCCCATGAAGCAGCTCTTCCTTTTTTCTGCTTCCAGTGCAGCAGCATTTTGTATTTCTTTTCTGAAAATTCCTCGTTTTCCTAATCTATTGCTGTCAGATCTTTGAATCATCAATCTCTAACCTTCTTGCAACTTTCTTCCATCACTTGATGATCAGGCATTTACAAAACTTGGACTGAATCAACTGAGACTGCTAGTCTAGGTTGGATTGACTTGGATTGCAGTTTCCACTAGTTTTAGTTTTTTGTCATGTTCCAAGCCAATGCCACTTAATTTGAATCAATCCAGTGTGGAGTGGCAGTCTGAGCTTAATTAGTCTGACTTTTGTTCTTTCCTCTGTCATTCAACAGAGCTAAGGTTAAGGAATGTGCCATGTCACAGTAATTATGATTGATTTTTATTATGATTATCATTTATGATGCTATTGATAGTAAGGGCTATGAGAATAAACCAACCAGGTAGATCTTGTCCAGAAGCAGGTGGTTGATCTTCAGAACTATCATCCCTGTCTTCGTCATCTGGTTCAGAGGGATGGACTGCAATTTGATCAGAATCAAAAAATTTTATTTAATATCTAAAATTAGCCTAATGTTACAATTTTTTTAATGATTAATTTTTCAACAGGGGGCATCTGGGTACCTCAGTCTGTCAGCTTTTTTAAAAAAGGGGTGCTTCAAGAAAATTGGTACTAAGATTTAAGAGACTTGAACCATCCATTCACTCTTTACTGATCAATCTACCTCTCAAATTACTTTTTTTTTTTTGCATCAATGTAGGATAAGTTTAGTTTATATTACTAGTAAACTTATTCGATATCAGAAATTTCATCTAACAATCTACAAAAACAAACATTGAATTGTGAAGTGAATATCAATTAAAAGATGGATATAAAAGGACAAGTCTGACTAATTCGTGTTAAATTAAATTGAAGAAACTGGCTCTCACCCTTAGGAAGGCCAGCAGCAACAACTGCCTTAACAAAATTTACTTAAGTGACTTTGGTGGCCTCTGTTAAAGTTGGCAAACAACAGCCAAAATTTCCGAAGACATCATCAATAGAATGGACAACAGCAATGTTACCTTTGCATCCACTTTTATCAATGTTGTGAAGATTCATTTAGATTTATAGCTCTTAAGAGCCAATGCCTATAACAATTGAGCAAAACTGAAATTTCGCTCTTCACTGATATTTGGCCCATTGATAGGTATTGGTAAGTAACTAAACATACTGTAGTTTGTATTCAAAAAGGCTGCTTTAATTTGGAGCAAATCAATAAAATTTATTTTTGCTGTCAGTGACTTCAAACAGCCAAAATTTAAGAGGAAATAGGCTGTTCTCAAAACTTCACTTGCATGCAAAAGGGACAATGCATCAGTTCATAGAGGGTTTTACTACTAGTTTGGTGGTGAATATTCAAGTTAGCAGTAATCTGAATGGTAAAAAATAATATTCTAGAACTGCTATATTCTTAACCAAAAGATATCTATACTTTAGCTGAAAGTTGCAATTAAAATTTTAGACACGTGCTACACCTGGGTTCACCCTGAGACTCGAACAATAAAGGTCTTTAAACATTGCACTGAAACAAAAACTGGCTTGGGTAATTCAGTTTGCAGTTAACACAAACTCTCTGAAGTAGAACAAAATTTCATTGAAATATGAGACATTTGAATTTTTAAAATAAATGTCTTGTTATTTCTGAAAGGAAATGATATTAAGGACGTAAAGACAGCAGAGTGACAATAACTCTCAAGAAAGAAACCACAACTTTGAGTTTAAATTTACAAGACATGTTTCGACATTCTCATGTCATCTTCAGTTGTAAATGAGCTTTCAACGGTTGTACATTTGAATTTATATTAAGGTACATTACAACTTACATGTCAGGGCTTGCATTATAATTTGAATATTAAATATGCAAAAAATGTAAATAGCTCGCACTGACTAGATCAAAAAAAAAATAAAATAATAATAATAATAATATAAAAGACCAAGGAACAACATAACTAAAAGGAAAGAGACAATTCTAGATGCTTCAATTGCTGATTAAGAATGGGTTTTTCCCACTTAATATGCAATGCCTCAAGAGGCACTTATTTTTTGATCTAGTCAAGCGCGCGCTATTTACATTTTTTGCATAATTACTATTCAAATTATAGCGTAACCCCTGACACATAAGTTGCAGCGTACCTTAATATAAATTCAAATGTACAACTGTTAAAAGCTCATTTGCAACTGAAGATGACATGAGAATGTCGAAACATGTAAATTTAAACTCAAAGTTGTCATTTCTTTTTGAGAGAAATGATATTAACCTTATTTATAACCAAAATTTGATGTATTTTTTAAATACAATATCTCAAATTATACAAACATTAAATTGAGAGAAGCTTTGTTGGCTTTTAAATCAATCTGATTAATGTTGCCACCCTCTAAATTAGTTACAACAGAGTTATAAATTGAAGAGAAAAACCAATAAGGAGCGGAGTTGCATGACAAAGAGAAAAATCCTTCTGTCAACTTTGGGTGACTGTAAAAAGGGATTGTTTCATTGAAAGAGCAAAAAACAGCATTCACTTTTCGACCATTACCGGTATATCTATTTGTATCATTGCGATTAAATACTTTTAGAAAGATATACTGTATTTACTCGTGTATAAAACATACTTTATTTCTGTAAATTAAAATAACCATCAAAATTGTGGTGCATATTATACAAGGATTCCATTGTTTCTCACACACGTCCTAATTTGCTACATTAAAAACACAACAAATAGAGTAACACACTTAAAGCTTCAATTAAATAGCTTATTTTCGATGAAGACTTGTGGGTGCATATTACTTTCTTACTCTAAAATCAAGAGGAAAGACAAAAATCCCTAAATATTTTTGCAAGTATGCAAACAGGTACGTGGATCAGATTTGAAAGTGAACATGCAAATTTCACCAAGTGTGAAGAGACTTCGTGTTACATGGAATTTTTCAATGAGAAGCAAAATGAAAGTAAGAAATATTTCAGGCAAGAAATATTTCAGCAAGAAAAAAAAGCAAGAAATATTTCAGGACAAAAGCTTTATTTAAAGCAGTTCTTGACTTGCCGTTATAAGTGAAAAAGTGCAAATTTCTTACATGTACAAAGCCCAGGCAGTGGAATTCATCGTGGGTACGTTGTTTACTTGACTTTATGGCCAGAAAATTGCATAGTGTGTGGTTGAAAATTCTAAAAAATACGATGATTTAACCCAAAATATTCGATATTTTTCAGACATATTGTTGCTCACACATAATATTTACCAGGCCACGGAATTGTGAAATTAGTGAGGCCTTGCTTGAGGTCCAAACATTTGGTTTAAATAATGTCATAAATAACTAAGTAGCAGAGATATCAGAGTTAACGATATAGTAAATTTCTTATTCTTGTTGTCTTAATAGATAATTGTACAAAGATTTAAGTTGTCTTTCTTGCTGCGAAAAAACTTTTTTCAAATAAATTTGGTTAAAAACAAGGGTGTGCATTATACATGGGTAAATACGGTAGTCTGGCTGGTAATTAATTTAATTTTACAACAGTCAGTTTTTGACATCTCTGTCAATAAACTTAAAGAACTGAAAGCCACCAAAGAACTATGGAAAATACTTTTTCTTATCCATCGATTGTGGGAGGACAATGTAGCCACAACAAAAGAGACAGGAACAAAGAAAAGGAACATATTCCATTACTTAGCTGTCAGTTGGATGAAACAGGCCACAAGGGAGAGTCATGAGAAAATGCTGAGCCATACTCAATGGAGTACCCCTAAAAATCATGTATTGGTCAAATAAAATACTTTTTAAATATGGTGAATCATTTAGATATACATACCTTTGAAAATTTTGAGCTTCCCATTAGTACTATTTGATATACTCCACGCCATCTTGAACTTAACATTAAACCGCTGACCATTTGAAATGGAAGGCCTACCAGGTATCCACCGCTTCGCTAGAAGATGAAAACCCAGTTGGAAAAGCAATTGAAGTCTCTTTACCTATCTATTTCAGGGAATTGATGTAAACTCCTGTTTACAAAGTCGTAAGATCCAAACTACCGCTCTTAAACATGAATCGATCTGTAAAAGGCCATCAAAGAATATTCCAATAACAAGATTTGAGCTCATCATTGGAATATTTTCTGATGGCCAGCCTTCTTACAAAGCTGTCTCTAAGTAAGGGAATCTTACAGCTGGCAATTGGAAACAATTTCAAAGTGAAGGCTCCATCAGTGATCATAACACAGAGTCAAATAGGAAGCTAGGTAGAGATGTGTCATAAATTTAAGAAACTCTTCAGTGATCTTCGATATCTTCTTGAGAGGTGAAAATCAAGTCACTTAATCACACATCTCTCGTGGAAATTAGATGACATCATGACAAGATATCTGTTGAGCTACTGAATGGTAAGGTATAAGAAAACCCAGAAGAACGCCATTCCATGAGACATTAAGGACCTTTAGCAACCCTATTTTCAGACGATGGCGACACCGATGACGATTAAGACTGGTGTGGAGTACACTTTTTCCCGCCGGGAAAGAAAACCTTAAGCTTTTCGCGACGGCAACGTTGTCTCTATCCACTTATGTTTTGAAAAAACAAAATCAAAGGGTTGCAAATATGAATTCGTCTAAGAGCATTCGAGAAATGCTCTTACTTAACTATGTTATAAACGTCGTTTCGGATAAAGAGTTTTTCCTTATTTATGACGCCTATGATTCTAAAAAATCCAGAATTTAATTACCAACCTTTCAAACTCGACAACCTCGATTCAGCCTGATGTAAACCAGAGTTCTTAGTTGAAAAAGCCGACCATCATCAACTCACGAAAGATGTAGGACTTGAATTTTCATTTAAACAATTCCCAGCGCTCTCTAACTGCTCTCTTGTCTTTGATACGAACCATTAGCGAATCGAACTGATTTAGGTTTTTCAGCTATCGAATTCCAGGTTTTCCTCCGGCTGACACTTCCTTTCTTGAAACCAAAAACATCGCTGACAACCATTTCCCTGAGCACTGACACGTCCTGTTGTTCGGTTCACTTCATCGGTACTCTGCATTAAGTATTAAAACATGCCGAAACAAAACTTCTCGCCGGCGCACACTTAAACATTCCACTAAGCTAAACTTATGTCCTCGCGTAAAACTACTTTAACCTACACTCACCTATTTAGATTCACTCAACTGCGAAAATTCCCTGCAACCACGTTGTCTGCTCGAAGCCACAGACATTATTCACTGAGGTTAGCTATTGGCACTCGAAAAATATGAGTTACCTCAATGTTTTCTTTTTTAAACTAGATTCTTACGTGAATGAACATACTGTTCGCCTTCGTTTGTCCTTATGTTCGCAGCCTTTCGGATGAGAAATGTGAAAGAAATGGTTCATATTTGAAGCGCTAACCAAAATGACGCACGCAACTCTAGTGAACAACGCGAAATTCACAGCTCTCACGTCCGTGTGAAGAGAGGACGGCTGCACGTGAAAATGTGACACTTCAAGCGGAAGTAAGTCTGGCTTCCGGTCGCAGTGCAATTTCAATTCAATTTCATTCAAGAGATATTCGGAAATTCAGTGGAGCAACATGAAGCAGGATAGACAGAACTTCTGTCACTAGAGTGTTACATAGAAAAATCTCGCGAGTTCCTGCCGGGTAAGAATTATTTGCGCTATGATGCTCTACCCTTGTTTCGTACCCAGACCTTCCACGGCCATGCCCAGATTTCAGTGACTCAGCGAGCCGTAAAAGCTCATGGGCGAAGCCAGAAGGAAGTCCTCGGGTGTCTCGACTATCCCACGTCCCCGCCTTGCAAGATATTTTTTTCTGGTAAATAACAACAAAGCCTTCTGATTCAGGTGGCGGAAACGTGCGCATCCGAAGATTATTTAAAGCAAAAATCATTTGCTAGTGGTAAATGTTTATCTAATGCAGCTGATTTGTAAGCCTGCCACTTCCCCTCGCCCACCCCTCAAAAAAAAAAGTGTCAAATTGAGGACCTCGCAATCAAATGCTGACCCCTTAAGGCTTATAGGTTAGGTCTTTAAAATGACCAGAACTGCTACAAAATTGTGACAAGCACTTGTTAGTCTCTAAAAAACACTCCAGTGTTTTAAACCTGTTTTATGCATTTAATATCTCGAGGAATTCGAATGTAGCTGACAGCCATATTATTATCTCTTCTCTTTCACGGGGTTTTGGAGTAAGAAATTATGGTATATCTGACATAGCTGACACTATCTAAAATCAGAGAGATGTTCCAGTTCGCTCTCGAGCTGAAAGTCCTCGCAATTGCCGCGTGCGATGTTAACGTTCATCGGTTCCTTTGCACGTGAAAGTTTACTCAAGTTTGTCAGTCTATTCGGCTTTTCGTTTAAAAACTTTAAACCAAGTATCCATCTTTATTATGAGCTCTTTAAAAACTCTTCTCTTAGCTAATCTAAGACTGTTTTCATACGAAATTCTGAAAAGTACGCGACAGAAGCAAATTAAACTAACAAAGTCAAACCGGAATGCTAGAAAGTACCGTGTAAAAGAATGACTAAATAGATATGTATATCAGACTGAGTCAAAATATGGACAATTTTTTTAAAAAAACTAAGATTAAAATGAGATCTAAAAAGCACATGAAGATGGTTACAAGGAGAATTTCCAAAAAGAGCAAAAAAAAGAAATACTTATATAATAGTATGATACATATTGAAAAGGAAAGCTCAGTGTACACTCAGGTAGCTTCAAGTTCCATCTTTTCCGAATACCGAAATGAGGATTTCCTGGTTTCATATTTATAAATCTCAAGAACATCTGTTTGAACACGAGAAGCCGTAGTTTTAACATACGATAGCGGGGTTATAGACGACGAGGACTTTTGTCTGTTTGTCTATTGTTTGATGTCATGACGAGCTTTGGCCTTGGAAAAAATTCGCAGCATGTATTCTAGAGAGGCGCTATCATTTCTGTCATCAACGTAGAGAACCAATTAACACTTGCAGTCGGTAGGTGTCTATGCGGTTAATCAAAACTGGGCATGCCATGAAGATAAACCAACAGCCTGCGAAGAATTAAACGAACCCTTGTATTATGTGAGTAGTACCTTAAAACAAAAAATTTCAGAAAAAGATTTGAGGTAATGAAGAATGCCGAAAAAAAGAAACAAATGTGTGTAGTTTCCTCAGCTGTAATTTAAAATTCATGGCAAAACATTGCTGCATTTTCAAAAATACTCTTGCATTTTTTGGTATCTTGTAACCTTGCCTCATAATAAATGAGGAGTTAGTGAAATATAAAGTTTTAGCTAACCATGTCTGTTGTATTTGTGAACAAAAACGCGCGCGTTAACGTTCGGAATCCAGATCACTTGTTTTGTTCGCATGTATAATGTATAACGTCAGGTATTGTACTTGTGCGTTACGGAGAGCTCGGCAAGGAACCTTCCGTCCATTGTGTTTGTTATTTTATAAGTTAAAGGTTCGCCTATTAATTAACAATTCACAATGAATCTTGGATCGGAATCACTTAGCGCGATCTCATCATGGAGGCCGAAGTCTTCGATCAATCGGCTGAACTTTCAAGAGTTACAGGATCCAATTAATCTCGGCCCGAAAAAGCTCTTGACTAATATTTGCTAACGGAAAATTAATGTGGAGTCGGGCTGAATGCTTCTGCAAAGAACGATACGTTTCGTCGATTCTCCGATGAAATACGTACTGTCACGCCAGCGGTCTCAAGCCCGCCAACAAGGCTGTTAGTTCAACACCAGGCAATCAAACAACTTGTATGTTGCATCTTCATTTGGTCTCTGAACCGCACTACTTAAACAGCGAGAATTTCCACCAGATGTATTTGTGAGTTCTCAACTGAATTATTATTCCTGTTGTTGATACGGTAAATCAAATCTCTTTTGACAGTAAACTACCGGGTAGATTTGGCGGGAAATGCCTACAGTCGAATGATCACGGGGAATTCATTCAAGTTTAGCCGAGTTTGATACCAAGACTTGGGAATTGGGAAAGAATAATGGTTGTATAAGTTAATTTCTGTCTTGCTACCCTCCTTTAGCAGCTTTGTCTCGCCCTTATTTTTTAAATGAGTATTGCCTCAACCGCAGTGTTATTGAAAATGCATTGAATGGTCCTCTAGGTTTGAGTATTATTTACATGTACCTGAGGGTTATTTTAAATTCATCTATCCCCTCCTGGGTACTGTATATCTGAGGGTTACTTTTAATCTCCTCTTTACCCTCTTGGGTAGTGTATACCTGAGGGTTACTTTTAATCTCCTCTGTACCCTCTTGGGTAGTGTATACCTGAGGGTTACTTTTAATCTTGTCTATGCCTTCCTCGGTAGTGTACACCGGTGAGTTACTTTTCCTTCCGCAGTAGACGGAGAAATAGCCAAACGGCATGGTGCATTGTGCATTAATCTCCTCTGTACCCTCGTGGGTAGTGTATACCTGAGGGTTACTTTTAATCTTTTCTCTACCCTCTTGGGTAGTGTATACATGAGGGTTACTTTTAATCTTTTCTATACCCTCTTGGGTGGTGTATACCTGAGGGTTACTTTTAATCTCCTCTGTACCCTCTTGGGTAGTGTATACCTGAGGGTTACTTTTAAACTTTTCTATGCCCTCCTCGGTAGTGTACACCGGTAAGTTACTTTTCCTTCCACAGTAGACGGAGAAACAGCCAAACGGCATGGTGCATCGATTAGGGATCATGAATAGGTTGAGGTACAGCCTATCAATGTAGAAGGAAGTGAAGGTGTAGTCTGATCGTCCGGGTGAGTGTAGTCCTAAGAAGGACTGTTGTCGGTGGTAGTGACTGACGTTTCGACAACCTGTGCGGAAGTCATCATCAGAGTCAAGTGAATGATTGTTGTAAGTAGAATGTTCTTATTCCAGTTCGTGTGAAATGATCGGTTGGTTTTGCCGTGATGTTATTGGCTGTAAGACTCAAGTGACGTAAGTCGGTCGTGATTGGTCTGTTTCGATCTGTCGGTAAAGTTAGGTCGTTCTTTTTCGGTCGTTTGTGATGTTTATGTCGTGAATGAGTCGTTTGTATGGGGCGGGTAGTTGTTGACATCTGTTTAGGGGAGTCTGTTCTAAGTTAGTAAACCAGCTTTCCAGAGTCAGTCGTTGAAAATAGTCAGTGCTGTAGGTTAGGCATTGCGCAGAGTCCCAGTCAATGTTGTGGTTGGTAAGTCGATGGTGTTCAGCAATGTGATTGCTGACATCACCTTTCCTCGTCGCCCGTCTGTGTTCAGTCAGTCTTGTTGTGAGGTTTCTGCCAGTCTCACCGATGTAGGAGGCTTGGCAGTCGGAACAATTGATCTTATAAATCGTTCCCTGTCTGTTCCTCGGTTCGTCTTTGTCTTTAACGTTGGTTAGTAACTGACGTAGTGTGGTGATGGGTTTGTGGGCGACGCGGATATTGAAGGGTAGTAAGATGCGCGAGATGTTTTCAGACATGCCTTTTATGTACGGTATGGTTGCTGTAGTCGTAGGGGTTGCGGTGTCGTTTGTTTCGGTAGTGGTAGTGGGTCGGTGAGTGTTTCGTNGTACACCGGTAAGTTACTTTTCCTTCCACAGTAGACGGAGAAACAGCCAAACGGCATGGTGCATCGATTAGGGATCATGAATAGGTTGAGGTACAGCCTATCAATGTAGAAGGAAGTGAAGGTGTAGTCTGATCGTCCGGGTGAGTGTAGTCCTAAGAAGGACTGTTGTCGGTGGTAGTGACTGACGTTTCGACAACCTGTGCGGAAGTCATCATCAGAGTCAAGTGAATGATTGTTGTCAGTAGAATGTTCTTATTCCAGTTCGTGTGAAATGATCGGTTGGTTTTGCCGTGATGTTATTGGCTGTAAGACTCAAGTGACGTAAGTCGTTCGTGATTGGTCTGTTTCGGTCTGTCGGTAAAGCTAGGTTGTTCTTTTTCGGTCGTTTGTGATGTTTATGTCGTGAATGAGTCGTTTGTATGGGGCGGGTAGTTGTTGACATCTGTTTAGGGGAGTCTGTTCTAAGTTAGTAAACCAGCTTTCCAGAGTCAGTCGTTGAAAATAGTCAGTGCTGTAGGTTAGGCATTGCGCAGAGTCCCAGTCAATGTTGTGGTTGGTAAGTCGATGGTGTTCAGCAAT